CTGGGCGGCAGCAGGTGGGGAACCTTGGCTTCCTCCATCACTGGAGCAAGCAAGCCTCCTGTTCGCTTCAGCTGCCTGGCTGCCGGCCGCCATCTTGGTTGGCAGTTAATTTGCATATCACCCTGATTAGCCAATGGGAAGCATTTCGGAGGTACGGTTAATTACCATGTTTGTCTATTATTAGATAGGATATATCATATAAAATAGATGCCTCTTGAAAATAGATATTTATTCTTGGTTTGGCTAAGATATAGTTAGAAGAGGTATCAGAATAGAATCATTAAAGAGAAAAAGCAAGGGTTCATATCAATGGTTCATATAGATGAGAAATAAATAACACCAGATTTTATTTCTATTCACTCTTTTAATAAGTGACTTGAACCATTCATATTTGTTATTATTATTTACTTATTTTGTATTTTCTACATATTATGCATTCTAGTTATTGTTTTTCTCACCTCTTCTAGGCAGTAAACACTGCTACTTTATTCTTTTGTAACACTTTGCAGTTAAAAAAATTTTTTTCCCCCACAAGAATCCTGAGAAGTCAACAGTGTAGATATAATCAGCTAGATTACATTGAGAGAAATTATGTCACTTTCCCAAGATTGTATGGAGGCTAAGCAGAAGAGCTGGTGGAGTGTTTACTGAGTGTTACCGAGTGTGCACTCAAAATAGCACATTACTCATATAAATGTATGCGAGTGAGCAAACTCCTGTGGCTACATAGACAGTGAAATAGTTTACCTCCTAAGTGTTTATACTTTAAAAAAAAGACTGCTTAGAGAGTGTTTTTTAATGTTTTTGTTATAATTTTGATTATGATTATGATTATTATACTGCTTCTTGCTTTTGTTTTGGGTTAATTTGGTTTGATTTGATGAGGAAATTGTGCTATCTCCATTTATCTATTCCTGTCCCCATGCTCTAAAAAATTTTTCTTAGGGAAGTGTGCTGTGCCTGATTGTAATGAAAGAAAATATTGTCTGACTATAAAGCAAACTGACTATAAAGCAAAATAGTTGAATGTAAAAGAGTATTTTTAATGCAAGAAAAAGTTATCTGAATTACCCCATCAATTCAGACCTGAAATCTTTTCCATAATTGTTGCTATATAAACATATATTTATTACTTTGCACCCAAGGTAAAGATTTCAAAAACATTTTTAGCTATTGGGAAACCATAGGAGACTAATTATCAATGAAAACAGAGACAGCAATGTAGCCCTCATTTAAAAAAAAATCTGCCTATGAGAGTTAAATTTCTTCAACCACATTCTTTTGTTTCTGCAAAAGATCATGACTGGACGTTTTGAGGTTATGCCATACTCCCGGGAAGCCGGGAGTTAAGATGTGTTAAGATGAGGCGATGTAGGCTGGAGATGTAGCTATGGTGACATGATGCACAATAAGTGAATGGAAAGGAGGTGTTAGATCTTCAAAAGAATTGGCAAATGTTAATGAGATTATTTCCAATTGAAATAAAACCCCCTTTAAGTATTTATAGGAATAAATTAGAAAACTATTAATGCTCTTGTATAAATTGATGCATTAAAAAACATTTTTAGCAGGTGAAGAAAGGTTGCTAGGGAAATCTTGGCATGGAGGTGATGATGGAAGCCAGAGTCTAACTTGCTTGAAAAGATTAATATACAATAAGATATTCTGTCTGCAAGTCTTTTTTCCCCTGCATTGAGCCACCTCCTTGGAAAGTTAGCTCAGGCTATTTCACAGGCTCATGCGGTACGTGAATGGTGAAGCCATTCCTCTATTGAATAAGGATGTGGATTTTCCCCCCTTCATTTTTTCTAGATATTAGCATGTATGGCTTGGGGATAGCAGATCTCCAAATGTTTCATCACCAAATAATCTTTCAGTTACCTCTATCCACTACCACAGTCATGGGGTTGGAAAGATTTTGTTGTTGTTGTTTATAAAACTACATTAATTTTTTTAAATTAAGGACACTTTTTATCTACTTTATTTCATTTGTTGTCTTTCTGTCCTGACATGAGAGCAAGGATTTTTGTCTGTTTTATTCACCAAGGTACTCTCAGCCCTAGAACCCTACTTTGTACATAGTAAGTACTCAATAAATATCTCTCTATATAAAAGCCTATGTGACCATCCAACCATTTGACCATTGGACTGATAACTATGACGTGCACTGACCACCAGAGGGCAGACACTCAACACAGGAGCTGCTGAGTGGTGGTGACTTGCCAGCTGCGGTTCTCAGGTGACGCACCCAGAACCCAGAGAGGAGGGAGCCTGATTCCAGGGTGTGTCACCCAAGAACTGCCCTCTTGCACTCCAAAACCCCTCGGGGGATGTTGGAGAGCTGGTTTCGGCCTGATCCCCACAGGCCAGGCCAAGGAACCCCACTGGTGCACAAATCCGTGCATTGGGCCTTTAGTTTATTGAATGAATGAACTAAAGCTCAGAGGATTTAGTAACTTTCTCAGGGATAAGAAAGTTGGCACTTTATTTTTATTATTTATTTTTTAAATATATTGTATTGATTTTTTACAGAGAGGAAGGGAGAGGGATAGCGTGTCAGAAACATCGATGAGAGAGAAACATTGATCAGCTGCCTCCTGCACACCTCCTACTGGGGATGTGCCTGCAACCAAGGTACATGACCTTGACCGGAATCGGACCT